GGTGGCAAATTCAGCTGTGGCAAACTAGTTTGGCTTATTGGTGGAGTGTTCAGGGTAACCGGAGACAATGTTTTAATACATTTTTGTATCAGAGAGAGAGTATCATAGAATTGATTTTCAACAATATCTCTATTTTCGTTATCATTTGCAGTGAATTCTTCAAGATAAGTTTCAATTTCATCTTGAGTCATTGAGTATTTTTCAAAGTTATCTTTTAAGTTAACTATACGATTTTCAAATTGAGTTGGATCTACTTCAACATCCTTATTGTTTTTCACCCAATTGGCAATGCGAGTAATAGCGCTTTTTGCGCGAGTACGGACCTGCTTCATAGCATCAAAATCCATATTGAGAAATAGCCTTTAAATAACTCCACCAATAATAATCAATTTAAAATGAATTAAGAGAGCCAAACAAGCTAATTAATAAATTGTACCTATACAAATCAATACACAATGTACCTATTTACAATATAGAATATTTACAACAGAGAATGTACTTACCAAGTACGAGCAATACAGGGATTCGAGTAGGCAAATTTCAATATATAATAAAAACACAAGTTTTTATTGAGCAGTGTAGAAATGAGAATCTTAAAGCAGTCAGAGATAGAGGCATAAAAAAAACATTAAATTTTTTAATTAATTACATTTCAATCAAGGCTTTAATCCGGCTCGAAGGACCAATGTGACGGAACTAGCTATTACCCTTTTGTGGACTCTAGTCATTACCGCACCAGGGATGTCAAAAGTTTTTACTTTGACTGACTGTAAAAATTAACCATTAGGTGTTGGATCATTTAAGCCTTGTATTGAACTAGGGGTGCCTTGATTCTCATTTATACAAATAAAACGCTGAAATAGAATAGTTATCAATTTAATTAATAAATGAAGTTAATTCGGTTTAATCAGCAATCAAATCCTATCTAATAATTCCTATTTGGACGTCCAGTCGAACTACAAATTTTATACTAATCTAAAGTAAATAAGCGAGTAAATAAGTATCTTGATTTATAAAAAATAGTGAAATTTCATAATAATAATATCAATTATGGTTAAATGTTCAATGAACGAGAACACAAATTAACTAATTAGATTTACGAGAGCACAACACAAATAATTCGTGAACTTCAATCAGCTCACTGTATTCACAAAATGTTTATTTATCCTTGAAAGTTCCTTTGTTTATTGAGAGTTAATAATTTGAGCACTTTTCTGCTGAAGTGTGTAAACAATAAGTGCAAGAAAAGTCTATATATATGCTCAGTTTCTATATACAAATTTACAAATTAATGTTCATTTCACGAGTGTGAAATAGTATATTACATACCGAGGTGGAAAGTGTTTCATTACTGTCGAGAGATCAGTTAGTTAACTGAGACGCGAAGCGTCAAAGTTAACTATAATCTCGAGATAGGAATGAAACTTCCTACCGAGGTTTGTATACTATTTTATTTACAACAATTACAAACCTCATAATTTCGACTAAATACCAAAAAAAATTTTTAAAAATTTGTTGACAAGTTCTGACTCATCTAAAAAAACGTTTGACATGCAAGACTCGTCTTAAACATTTTAGGAAATGAGAACTTACTTTCCACCCGGGTGGAAAGTGAGCACTTTCCACCCGGGACCACTTTCCACCCGGGTGGAAAGTAAAATTCAAAAAAGTGTCACTTTCAAACTTTTGAAAAGTCAGAAATGTCAACATTACGTATGTGGTTGTAAATAAACCAAATTTCTGTATTAAAGGTTAGAACAAACACTTCAATTTATAGTGCATTTCAACCGAATCAGTATTCAGTATTTATTAATTTATTGTTCGACTGTTTTGAGAAATTGAAACGGTCTTACTTGCTTAATCCAGTTCATACCGGTAAATCCATATAGTGATTATTTATCCATTTATCACTATTCGTAGTAATTTGCACTGTCAGCTAAGGGATTTTCCACTAAGAGAGAGAACACAATGATATACAGAGTTGAAGCCTGTCGAGAGTGAGACAGGAATAACCTTAAACAGGCGTAGTAGAGAATTTTGCTAGGTCCGAGATGACTTGCAACAATTTAGGGGTTAATTACATGAATTGTAATCAAAAATATCGTTGATAATATAGACCATGTCAGGCCTTGAGTCACTGGGGGTAGTATTTTACTATAATTCGCGTACTAACGGGGGTTTTCTGGGGGTTTTTTCCTCTGTAGAGCGTTCAGAGGCGAGAGGGTGCAGAGTCTTTGCTTACTCTTCTGCTTCTTGATTACTACTGTTGTGTACCGTGCCGTGCGTCGAGTCGACTGCCTTTTTCGGAGCAGGTCGCATAAATCAGGGATGTTGGGTGGCAACTGACCAATCACAACAACAAAATAGATCCATTGCTCATAGGGTAATGAAGAAACCTGTAATTTTACCTATTCAAAAGGGCTGCTGTTGCCAGTTTTACAGGAATCTTTTTTTTAGAATATTATTTTTATGATAAATAATAGAAATTGAGATTATATTGATAAACTACAAATAATAACATTTTAAACTTGTTGTGGGTTATTTCCGCAACAATAATAATAATAATAATAGTCTTTATTTATAGCACTTGACTAGCAAACATACAAATATTTCATGTACATATCAAATCACATCATTGTCATTTAACAAATATTAAATTAGGTACAATTTTTTTACTTAATATATTCTCTACTTAGTTTCTTAAATTCTATTACGGTATTACAACACTTAACTTCATTTGGCAATTCATTGTATAATGTTAGGCCCTTAAAGAATAAGTTTTTTTGACTAATGTTCGTATTGACTTTCCTTATGTAAAAGTTGTTCTTGATCTAGTATTGTATTCATGAATTTCTCTAACAAATTTACAATTTTTTAAAAGATGTCTAGATTGTCTAGGCAGTAGATCATTTACCATTTTATAAATAAATATCATTGTGTTTTGGGTAATTACGAGGGTAATTGTTTGTTTTACACTCAAGACATTGACTAGATTTAACATATAACTTCGACTTGTGTATATTTATTACAGTTCAAAATAATCTGCAAAGCTATATTCTGTTTCTCTTGCATAACATCCATTTCAGAGTTGTCATTAAGAATAATACTGTTGGGAAAAAAAACAGATGAGGAGCTATAATTGTTCTGTAAATTCTATTAAAATTATATTTTATCCAGACCGATCTTCGAGCTGAATGTTTTTGTTTTTTTAAATTACAGCTGCCTCCCATTTATCATTTTCCCAATAAGTTACATTATCATACACATCATATGATTTTTCAAATTTTAGTGCTTTTTTGCAATAATTTGGTTTATTTTTTAAAGCAATTTCTCTTGAAAATTTTGTAAACTTTTTGATTCCAAGAGTTGTTCATTAATAATAATTGGTAATTTAGTTTTTGTTCATCCGTGCCAGCTACAGACCTACTTTGATATTCAAGCAACATTAGTTCACCTTCCACTACAGATTTTTTAACAAATTCTTGAAAACATCGCTTGCTTTTTCTGCTAAATAGTTACTTTTACGATAGTAAGGAGTGAGGAGTGTAAGGACTTGAAGTTTTCATTTCAAACTTCCAATCTTCAGCTACTAAAACTGTTGAATTCCAAAGAGTTGAATGGCATTTTAACTGCACTTGATATTTTTGATTTCATTATTTTCAATTCAATCATAAGTATTTGCAATTTCTGTAGGATGGAAATTGAATGGTTAGTACTTAGTTCCTTCAGTAAAACCCACTTTAGTTAGGTATAAAAGTTTGATTTCTAGGATCCTTTTCTTAATACATACATTTATTTTATCTGAGTGCAGTAGCTACTGTTTAGGGTGACATTTGGTTAAAGTAATTATTAGGTTAATAATATTCCTAGGATTGAATACCTACTACTCCTACCTTATTATTGTAATTTGCCATCTAGGTATAGGTACTTAAATTTGAATTACAGGCTTTATTGCCAAGGGTAGCTTTCTCAGAGAATTTAGTATATTTTGCTGATTTCCAATTAAAAACTCATTATCTCATCCAAGTCACAGGGGGAGGCATGTGTTTTTGAGCAGGTATTTGATACAGAAGGCCAGATTTCAGTGCTAGAGTAGTATTGTATTGAGTTGGTAAAGTGTCATACTTGGGTGATGTGACTTGACTTGTGCAGAATCAAATTTAATTGGTAAGTCTTGTGTATGTAGTTTTCTTTTTTTCTAAGGAGTACCTATTATTGTACATTATTCTTGGTGCCAAAATTAGATGAGAAGTTTGAAAAACTCTAAAAACAGTGAAGAGAGTTTCTTATACCTTTTTTTTATATTTTTTAATTCCTTTTCTGTTTACTGGTCTGTATAGTTGGGTACACAAAATTATGCAGAAGTTTGTCTATTAAAAACAATAATTTTGCTCACACACACAAACAATAAAGCTGTGAGAATTTGGTTACTGCATTTTTTGAAAAAGAGTTTAAAAATAATTAAAAATCAGCTACCTTAGCTTATTATTATTATAGATATAAACAAAATAATTTACTTATTTCAAGTCTTTGTTGCACAAATTCAAATGCATTTTGCACTACTAGAACAAGGAACGGCATTGTTTAATGGGGCATACTTATTGTATTCATCATCATTGTGGAGGTCATTGGCCCGAGGGGGGCAATTACACAATTACATCAAATAATTAGGATGTAATTACTGTTTAGCTGGCCAGACTTGGGAAGGAGAGTTTAAAAATACACACCGAATCCCTAATTAGGGACCTGTCAGTTTGGCCCATCTGAATTTGAAGGCAAGGCCCAAAATAAACCATTAGAAAATGGGGTCATTTGAAGGAGTAGTTGGTACCATGGAGGCCTTATTTGGGGATCCCTGTATGATTTTTATGTAATGTTTTTTTTGTGAAAATAAATTATGACACAGCTGTCGCGGCCATATTGAGTGGATTTACGTCATAAATTAGGCCTACCACAGGTGGATAAGGGGGTTTCAATAATTCTTATGATTGTTGGTGTACCTGATGTAGGGCCGTGAGCCCGTCTACGTTTGCCGTATTGATATCGGCCCCAGATTCCAACAAATTGAGCACCTCTTCCTTGTCGCCAGCGGCGCACGCTGCCAGAAATACACAACCGGAGGAGAACTTCACTTTTCGCGATATATGTTTCGGCGACACTGGTTCGCGATTCGTGTCCGATTCTTCCCATCTTTTCAGCTGCTCGGCCCTTTTGAACAGGGCGGAATTCGTCCGGGTCTCCAGGGACATTTTCCACTTTAGTTTTCTACGCTTATTCGAAGAGTCCGCGGACCGACACCATTACGATTTTTACCTCAAAAGAAACGAAACGATTTCTTTTTTTTTTTCTTTCCACCATTTGACAGCGAGGGTGCGGTTGGGTTGGCTAAAATAAACTTACGAGCAGTGGCGACATCTACCATCAAAACAACGATTGACTTATTGCAATTTGACATTGAAAAATCCGTAGCGCTTTCGAATGGTTTGATGAAGGGACGTTCTATGTTCCAAGCACAGTCCCGATTTTTAGAAATATTTTCCAACCGTCCCGATTCACGAATTTAATGCCAAATGTCCCGATTTTTAAAGATGTTAAAGGGCGTGTGCGCCAAAAATTAAAGGTTTAGTGTAAAAAAATCTAAGAATAACTGTTCAAACCTCGTTATTCTACGATGAACCATTGCTGAGATATACCGTTTCAAAGTGTGTGTGACGTCACGAAAGCTTCGTCAAGCCGCGCTCCGCATTGATAATTTGATTGTTTCTGGTACGCGTGAGTGGTTTTTGTTTAAATTATTGCAGGTGACACAGGAAAAACATATGTAAATTCAATCTACTTCACTTTCTCGTGCGTCGCTTGAGCTTTCGTGACGTCATAGGGTGAGATGCGGTACCTTCATAGACCCATATCTTCGATATTATTTGTCATAGAGGGGTGCGGTTTTCACTGTTATTCTTAGATTTTTTTTCTCTTTTTTTTGATATGAAGTTGTTTTTTTGGCGCACACCCCCTTTAAGGGAATATAACCCGATTTCCGACCGACAACGTCATGCTGCGTTTCCCTTGCTTCTCGCCGAACGGCTAGAGAAATTGTGCCAATAGGCCCCTTGCATGAAATTTATTTATTGCTGTTTTCGATAGTCCATGAAAAATAGGTCAACGCGTGTTTTTTCTTTTTCTTGTTAGTCAAAAATTGACGGAGATAATACAACGCTTTGAAATATCCTTCTGACGTCATAACTTAAACCGAATTTTCGCGACGAATGTAGTTCATCCAAGGACGAACCATAGTTAGTTCGTCTGTGACGTCATGAGTTTAAACGCTGGCTAGAAGCTGCATCCATGCTTCCGTCGAACTACGTTCAATATGACGTCATGAGTTTCTCACGAAAGCGTTTCTGTTCATGAAATCATGGAAGTAGTTCGTCGCGAAAATTCGGTTATATAATACGTTGTGACGTCGCATATGCTCAGTATATCTATACGGGTGTTCCGAAACTATTGTGCCAAAAATTAACGGATGATAGTTCTCGCCAAAATAAATACGTTTTTTACTTATAAACCCATAGGCGCATGCGCATTGGTTAGGTGATAATAGCACATTACAATCCGCGCTGTGGTAGCTACGTTGCGCACGAAGAAATGTGTTTGAAGCAGAAATTGTGTTAATAAATAATACAGGAAATCCCAGGAATGCTAGCAGTATTTATTAAATACAATGATTCACATCAGAAGATGCTCAAAATTACGACCACCCACCTCAAATTAAGCATGCGTGATAGCGCTATGGCATAGCCTCCCTGAACACGTTGAAAAATTCCTGGCGTAACGCCCTACACACGTAAAGATTTATCGTACTGCATGCAGTACGATATCCATCGAAACTGCCACATCAATGATAAATCGTAGCGTGTGTAGGGAAATTGGATGGTTTGCAGTATGCAGTCGTCAAATCGTTTGCAGTAGGGAGCTTCCGTAAAATATCGTATCAACGGGTCGTGTCTGTGGTAGGGTTTGAACGCAAGTCTGAACGTGTGTAGTGTATTCCTGCCGCAGCGCGCAGTTACGATATAATTTTTATTTTTGGTTTAATCAATATTATGGATTTAAAAAATAAGACGTTCTGGGAAGACTTTATTGATTTATATAGAGAAAATAGATGCCTATGGGATGTGAAATCAAAAGATTATGCAAATCCATCAAACACGTAAAGGCATCAGAATCCATTCTTAAATAGTTTTTAAAATCAAGAGGTTCTTCTTTTTCCAGCACATATGTGAATATTTCTTTCTCTCCAGCAACCACTTTTTACACCATTTTCGCTTTTTGATTTCTTTTTGTTCATCATCTTCATCTATCAGCAATACCGCAGCTACAAGTACGGCAGCTTTCTTCTTTGAAATTCTTGACATAACGGTATGGTAGCCCTTCTCGACGAAAACTGAATAATCTGGACTGCGGCAGTACAATGTGTTGCATCGTGTGTACAAAAAATGGCTGTACTGCAAGCCGTACGATTTTCTTTACGATCTGCAGTTCAACGCGCAGTACGATAAATCGTTACGTGTGCAGGGCGTTTTTTTCGCGATTCAACAGCTGCTACAACAATCCTTCCCACTAATTATTCCTCTGTTTTAACTGGAGTGTCGTTCACATTCATATGACATAAACAAAAGTCGTATTCGGTCACGTCTGGTAAACCTGGAGGCCATGCAGTAGGTGCGCTCTCTTACCAAACACTCTTTCCAGATTATGTTTCGTTGAGATGTTACTTTACGGCTAACGAGCGCCAAAAATAAAAGTTTTAGTGTAAAAAATCTAAGAATAACTGTTCAAACCTCGTTATCCTACGATAAACCATCGCTGAGATATACCGCTTCAAAATGTGTGTGACGTCACGAGAGCTTCGTCCAGCCGCGCTCCGCATTGTAAATTTGATTGTTCCCGGCACACGTCAGTGGTTTTTGTTTAGATTATTGCAGGTGACACAGAAAAAACATGTAAATTCAATTTACTTCTCTATCTCGTGAGTCGCTCGAGCTCTCGTGACGTCATAGGGTGAGATACGGTACCTTCATAGAGCCATATCTTCGGTATAATTTGTCATAGAGAGGTGCGGTTTTCACTGTTATTCTTAGAATTTTTTTCTCTTTTTTTTTAGATGAAGTTGTTTTTTTTTTTTTCGCGCACCCTCTTTAATGTGAATAATTGTTGCTAATAAATACTGCAAGCATTCCTTAGGTTTTGTATTATTTAATACCACAGTTTCTGATTCAAACACGTTTCTCCGTGAGCAAGGTGGATACCACAACGCGGACTGAAATTATGTATTATCACATAACCAATGCGCATGCGCCATGGGTTTATAAGTAAAAAAACTTCATTTTGACGTGATCTATCATCCCTTAATTTTTGGCACAATAGTTTCGGAACACCCTGTATATACAAAACTCAATATTTGTGTAACTTTCGAAATTACCATATTAGGACAAAATAAAAAAACACGCATCGATTTTTTTCGGATTTCCTAATTCCTACAGTTTGCAATAAATAATAATCAATTTAATTTTCCATGTAAGTACCCTATTGTAGTGGGTTGTCTACTTTCAAACATTTAGTGCGGTCGTCGACAACCACAAGTGCCGACTGTAGAACGATGTTCTTTTTCTTTCTAGACCATAAAATCATTATAATACCCTCTAGCTCTTTCTATAGTAATGGCACAGATCACCTAATACAGATGCGTAAGTACGTATACTTGCCGTCGACGATATTCTGTGACGAAGCCGGGCTGCCAGCAACCCCACGCATAGATAAAGATCGCCCGCGTCAGGACATTTAACGTGGCCGAGTGCGTGAGCATGTTCCAGCCTGTGTGTTTACATATTTTTGCGGGTAGAAAAAAATATTTTATTTACAATCATACATGTAATGTTGACTTTACTGACTTTTAAAAAGTTCGAAAATGTCACTTTTTTGACTTTTACTTTCGACCCGTGGGCCGAAAGTGAATGAAATTTTTAAAATTTATTGTATTTTTTGACTTTTACTTTCGGCCCACGGGTCGAAAGTAAACTTTCGACCCGTGGGCCGAAAGTAAATGAAATTGTTAATTATTGTATTTTTTAGTTTTAATCAAAATGAAAATTTCAAAATTCGAATGATTGTAAATAAAATAGTATACATACCTCGGTGAAAAGTTTCATTACTGTCTCGAGATTTCAGTTAGACCTCGGCTCTCGACAGTAATGGAACACTTTCCACCTCGGTATGTAATATACTATTTTCTACATTTGTCAAAAAATGATGATGTTCGCACACTCATGACAGTTTGCGAAGTGACACTTTTTTTCCCAGGTATTGATTTTTTAACGTTCCTATGACGCCGTGTGCGAACTTGATATTTCGCGCACGTGTGCGCGAAATAGCTAGTTCGCACACTGGGTGTCATGGTGACACATACCTGTCAGGAAATCAAAAATAATTAAAATTCACCTACCTTTGATTGAAAATGCAATTTTGGCTTTGAATGATTGATATTTAAATGGAGTTGTAGAAAAAATATTGTTTGCAACTCGAGAGCGAAATACTTTGGTGATCTCGACTATTTTTAGAATTTCGCGCCCTTGATACAAAAATAACTATTTCTGCTGTTTGTGAACCAATTAAAGAAATAATATTACATTATTGAGCTTCCGCATTTATATAATAAATTTGTTCAAAATACATTGATGTGGCATTGGTGCGGCCAGCATATGTCTATCAAATTAATCTTGAACCACAAATTCGCCGCTCTTTCGCATCTGTATGTAGGTAATCTGTGGTAATGGTAGCAGGGATCGTCGTTTGTGAGTTAGGATTTGACAACAGCTTTGTTCCTACACAGCAGAGGGAACCGTGCAATATAAAGTACCGTCACGATTCTGTGCAAAGCCTGAAATTTGTACGTAGAATCCGAAATTCGTATACAGAGTGGTTTCCAAACCGTTCATGGGACGGTTTTTGACGTATTGGAACAGACCATTGTATTTAGCATTGTATTTAAAAAGTTCCAAGGGCAAGGGCATACTTAACTTTAAGTTAGGCCCGTATTCATAGTCGATGCTCGAGGTTGCGTCTTGACTCAAGTACGACTTGACGCCATATTTACGTTTCCAAACAGCACGGTACGATGCTCCCAACTGTCAAAAATCGGAGCTTGAGCCAAGCACCCGTCTATGAATAGCGGCGGGCTTAGTTTCAACACGTCAAAAACCGTCCCGTGAACGGTTTCGAACCACTCTGTATAAGAATTTCGTGTTCTACGCAGAAATTTTTGGCGTTGCGCAGAATCTTGTCGGTATACATTTTACGGTTTCTTGACTTGTAACAAAGCTATTATCAATTTTTCTTTCTTATGAAAAATATGATGCAGATGAGTAGGAATAGAATTTTAAAATATCAAAAATCCAATGTTTCACTTATGCACCCTCGGTGGCGGGGGGGAGGGATTTATATTGTTTTGGCGACCGTCTTTGTCTTACGCATTCTTAGATAAGACTAGGTAGATTTATAATGACCCACCAATGCTCGTAAACATGTACGCGTGCGACAGAGCAAACCACCCCTTTTATTACCGTTCTCACTACCATCAAATTTTCCTCAAAAATGGACAATGAAAGTAGCTGTTAGGTCCGATCCAGTAGTGTAGTATATTTACAGGGTGTCCCACGACGTTTGTCCCAGGTAATAACAATTATACAGTGGAACATACGATGATGCTTTCCAAAGTTACCATTTGGAAAAAACCTCGTGGGACACCCTGTATAGTTCATTCACTACGATAGCCAAGGAAAGCCTAGAGCCTAGCTTATCCTCATAAGCCTGTGTAGTTCAAATCTCAAGCCCTCCACCATGCCAAAGAACCAGTGATGACGTAGGCAGCATGTCGTTTCTTGCCTTGACGTAGGGTGTTTGCACCACTGGTTATGATTCTGCGGGTTTTGCTTTATGCATACTTTAGTTCAGGGTAATTAGCCAATTATGAGCGAAAATTTCTTAAAACAAAATATAAAGCTAAAAGTTGGTAAACGGGTAGCTTAAACCGTGCGTTCGTTATTTTGGTCTGAGTTCTCCGAGCTTGACTTTACCGTTCGTTTATTCAAAAAGTGTACTCGGTGTATCCTCATTCGCGTTCGTTTATTAAAATTTCTGGCACTTTTATTTAGCGTTCAACTGCTCTGTTCGCTCGCTGGTCACGTGGTTACGGCTCCGCTCTGCACGCTCTGCTCTTCGAGCAAAATACCGAACGCAAGGTGTATCGTTATTCATAATTTCTGGTGTTGCAGCCTGTGCCGGGTGGTGGGGACGCAGGTCGTTTTTGGGGTCCTTTTGTAGGTATCAAACCCCAAACACGACAAAATCGGATTAGTATTTAAGAAAATCTACGTAGGTATATGATGATACCTTTAAAATATTGAAATTTGGTTGAAATTTACGGTGGCCTATTTTCAATGTTAATCGTGCCTCTTTCTTTGTGTGACAAGAAAAAAGGTTTAAACTTAGCAAAACATAATGCATTTTATCAGTTGTGTAATTTTCTAGGAAATATAATGATGAATAGTAAGACATAAAAGAATTGATGTCAGTAATGGAAAAAAATCCCTCGACGGAGAAGTTTATTCTAAAGAATATGTTAAAATAAAACTTAAGGCTCATTATGGTGATTCCATTTGTATGAGATCAAAAAGTGGAAAATGGACAGTATGTTCCCGGGGTACAGTTTCTCGTATCTAATAAGTGGTATGAGGACAATTTAAAAACTATTAGGTACAGGCGAGCGAATGCGAATTATTGAAGCTGCCGCAATTATAATCAAAGTTGCCTGTGAATATTATAACTACCCTAGCGTTAAACAAAGGTTATATTGCTATCCCGGACGCATCAAAACATTCTGCCACCCAATCTAGCCATATCCCGGAAATCTGACCAATCAAATTCGATGTGGCTATTTTGAGCGGCATAATGTTACATACATGGGTAAGAAGGGTCAGAACGTCGGGGCGGCCTGTTGCACTTGTACGTTAGAAGTGCCGCATGTTTTGTTTATTTCCCGCTCTTGCTCTATTGAAATTTATGCGAAGACATTTTGTTATTTTTTCTAAATTAAATAATTACCTAATTTTATAAAACTATTTTCTATAAAAGTGATATTTTCATATTTTAATAGCAAGAAGTAGGTCACTATAAATACAAGCTTATTCAGAAAATTAAAAAGGAGAAGGAAATTGTACAAAAACATGTGGTCTTTGAAAAATTTAGAATTTACATTTTTAATTATTAGGTATTCAGATTTTGCTAAATCTAAATTTATTAACCCCTTATATCCAAAATGGATATATTTCTTAATTCCTCCGTTTTAATCAAAGAACTCTGAATTGTATATATAACACGTACAAAAGATAGTAGATTTTTTTAACATCAAACACTGTTAAATTTAATACTTATGCTCTATCGCCTGTAACATTCTGACCCTAAATCTAGCCCATGCAATAACATTCTGACCCTTTAAATAGCTCCATATATCATTGGGTGGCAGAATGTTTTGATGCATCCCGGACAGTTTGCCTTCAGAACCTTGTTTTGTAATAGATGGTGGTTATCTTTTGCAAAAAGTAGTTTGGCCAAAACCTGGTTCGTTTTCCCAAATACATATGTGACAGTCATCATCTATATAAAAAGACACTATATATGGCCGTGAAAGTACTATTGTGTTTGATGGTTACTAATGAAAGGGAAGAATGCAGAACATATTAAAAGAACAAATAGGGCTAAGAGGTCTGTGGATATTAAGACAAAAGGTTTCCACATTCAATGATACCAATGTAATTAAAAAAGATATTGCTCAAGCCGGAGAGTATTATTTCTTAAAACTATTATATAACGGTCGTGTTTCTTCAGATAACTTAAGCAAAACCAGATTTAACTGTTATAAAAGGGTTATAGCTAAACAACCCGTTTTTGGAAAGTTTAATCTTTCGGTATTACCACCAACATCTGGAGTAACACAGCTACAGAGTTTTTCATTAAGTTCAGTCTTGGCGTGGAGTAAAACTTAAAACTTCCTGCTACTCTGATTGAAGATGGAAGAAAAGAGAGAGACAACTATGGTGCCAATTCCTACACTTGACCCTTGGCACCCGAAAATTCATTGAAGTTGGTATTTTGTAATTGTAAAACTGACTGTGCCCAAAGATGTGACTGTCGCCGAGGGTGACTTTCATATACGTACCGCCATGTGTGGAAAATGTAATGGTAAATTATGCAGCTACAGACCTCCTATGGTAGGTGAGGAAGAAGAACAGTCGGAGCTAAAGGAATACTCCTTCGCAGCATTTCAACACTAAACAGTAATAATAATATTAATATTCTTTATTGCCAACAAAAATCGCAAAAGCAACGTCACAAAAGGATGATCCAAGTAGAAAGTAGCGCCACTGTACTTGCGCGCGCTAACTCGTTACGCATTGTGACGTCATAGAGAGCGTTTCGTGCGTTTAAACGAAAATTAATATTGCGTCTCCGTTTTTCTCATAGAAGGAATTTTCGTAAAATTTTGTAGATTTAGGTACTTATGAAAGGGTGCTTAATCATTTGATGATTGTTAAACGGGATTTTTTTATTTTGTGAACATTCGTATTGTGTGATTTTTTGTTAATACTTAGCTACTTGAATAAATTATTCAAAATAAATTATGCAAGAAGTCTTGCTTCTTGCAAATTTCTTGCACAAGAAATCTTGTTCTTGCTCATCAGTTTCTTGTCTTGTATACTTCTTGCTAATCCACTTCTTGTCTTGTTCTTGCATGCAAGAACAAGACAAGAACAAGAAAAAGCAAGACAAGAACAAGAAATACCTACCTGCACAACTAGTGACAGGTAAAAGTATTATTTCCATTGCATGCAAGAACAAGACAAGAACAAGAAAAAGCAAGACAAGAACAAGAAATACTAAATACCTACCTGCACAACTAGTGACAGGTAAAAGTATTATTTGGTAATCCTGAAACCCCTTGTGGTATTACATTCGATAATTCTCCCATGTTATCGTATTGATGGATGTTATGCTAATTTTTGATACAAACAAATGGATGCTGTTAGCAACCATATTTATTTCCATATTTTTTGCATTCGCATTCGTGAAATAATCCTCTAAATACCACTCGAGCTTTAAGATGGAGCAAATAATATTTCACTCAGGCGTGTTTTCTTTGCAAATTTCATTCGTCCCGTCCTACGGACTCGTGGTATTATCCCCGAAAATTTTTCAACTCCGAGATAATAGGGGTGGTAAGTTTTATAATGAACACTCTGTATATTTTAAACTACAAATGCTGGCGCAAACAGCTGACGACACGTTTGATGACGTCAGCAACGGTGCAACACCATATGACCGTGATTCTGTAAATCGAGGCCGAGATCGAGGCCAATGAGCAATTCTGTAAAGAATAGTGTGTAATATTCTTGGACAAAAATAACCTTTTTCCAGTTAACTAGTGCAAACACCCAGTCCAGGCAAGAAAGGAAATGCTGTTTTGTGCAGATTTGTTCCACACAGGTCTTATGAGGATAGGCTATCCTGTAGTAGTAGTATGTATTATATCCTTGCAGTTAATCGAACAACAATCAGGTTTACGAATTTTTCATGAAATACAAAAAATTAAAAATAATCCAAAGCTAGAAGAAGTTCCAGAAGAAAATCTAATCCCTATTCACTAGAGATTCCAAAAATTGAAAGTTGACTTTTCTCGAATTTCGAAAAACAAAATTAATACTCTATCTGGTAGGCGGAAAGAAACCGAAAAGGTCTATCGACAATTTTCCGTCAAACGCCTCCTTAAGAAGTTTTATAGGACAATCTTTTCTTTTCACTAGGGATTCCCCGAAATTGAAAGTTGATTTTTTTTCAAATTTCAAAAAAACCAAATACTCTATCCGGTAGAGAAGGCAAAAATAAACCGAAAAGGTCTTTCGGTAATTTTACGTTAAACGCCTCCTAAAGAAATTCCATAAGAAAACTCCTCCTGTTTACTGGGGATTCTCTAAAATTACAAAAGACCTTCAACGTATTCCATTCCATTTTGAGATTTTGACTTTAACGTTCAGGATCCAAAATCCACAAATCAAAAGACATGGATTGGCCTTGAGCACAAATTAAATCAAACTATAACCAATTTTCAAATTGACTCCTTATTTTGGAGTACTCGGGACAGATAAATGAAAGCCCCTTCTGCCAAGCAAGTATATATCGAATCATCTGGCAACAGCGCGTCTTTTTTTTTTATTTACTAAAGTGACATTCAAGACGTCATTCATTCGTCAAAATCAAAACATCCAAATTCCAAGAGGGGGATTCCAACGAAAGTTTTTTTCTTATGTTTAGTAGCAGCTTAAATTTGTGTTTAAAATTTGGAAATATTGCGAAACGTTCTAGCAAAATAGTCAATTAACTCGCGAAATTGGCACGACGACCTTGACAATATTTCAAACTCGGTCAAATACAACAGTACATATCTGGCAGTCCCTGTAGTGATGAAAAATCTTGAATGAAAGTGATCCCGGTTTAAAGGTCACAATTTTTACTGATCACTCGCTAGTTTCGTGACGTAAACCGAACTTTATCAGTTCCAATTTACTATTTATCGTGGTTTTCATGGCTTTTCTCACTAGTGACGCAAGTTCTGTGACGTATTGTTGCTTTATTAAATAAAAATAAAAAGGTAGGTCTGTTTCGATTTAAAAACATTTAACAGGAAATCGTTCACCATATCCGTACCGTTCGGGAATTAGGAATTACCCAACCGAATTGCTTGGGGAATTTGTTGGATATTATCCAGATTTTAGTCATAATCAATTAAAACGGTGACAGTGACAACAATGTCTTTAGTGATTTCTATATTTCATTGATTCAGAAAGATAGTGCCCCCCAAATTTATCAGTTACTAAAAGGTAAAAATAATGTTTCTAAGATTATGTATTTTTTCCTCGATTTTTTCTAACAGACAAGATTTTGCATTGATTTTCAATACCTGGTTGATTTTTTCTGCCCACGGTTTCAGGGTCTTAAAATTGCACAATTTTGCACACTTCGTGGAAATCTAGGACACAGAAATTTTATGTTGTGTTATGTTATGGTGATATTATTTCCAAGACACAAGAAATATTAATTTTAATTTGTCTTCTAGTGTTTCTAGTCATTACAAGCTTCACAGTTTTTTCAATATGTATTCATTGAAGCTATAAGTGAAAAGATCCCCAAAAGTTTGTTTTTTCTAAATGTTCATTAAATAATTAGAGGAAGCTTTTCCATCAAATTAACAATATCTACAGAAGATTAGCTCATATCCTGTTTACTTTAATGATAGGATAATTATTGTGTGCAAGGTGCAAGTTTCCCCAAAAAAAAACTGGCATTTACATGCAAAACAATAAATTTTGCACTTATCTATGGACAATTTTGTATTTTATTTAAGTATGGCATATTTGATATGAAAATTTATGTTTTTGTCAGTCTGTTTATTGACAATATTTTTATGTAGATGTTTTCAAAACAATTTTTTTTTGTTTTGCCCTGTTCACCTTGACTATAAAGACCATGGATTGATAGAATTTACCACCTTGCTAATTAAGATTAAAATATAGTGGCTTTATAAATATAGAGATTGTCCACTTTTTTTCCTTTTTCAACTTATCATTGGTATGAATGGGTGTTTTTCCTAGAGCCAGTTTTAAGCATTTTGAGATGCTAGAGAGCAATTTAGAACTTTGATGAGCTTCAGAAGACTTTCAATTCAATTTTCAATGCTCCTGCATTTGTTTGAGACAAATTGGAATCTGTAAAAACATTGTAAAATGTTACAGAACACTTTAGAACCAATTTAGAATTTGAGAGACATTTTAGAACAGACCAAAAAACCTTCTGAACTTTCAGCCATATTTTAGAAAGCTTTTGGAACACTCTAGAATACTTTACAAATCATATGGAACTTTCGGAAACAATCTAGAACTGGAAACTTCTAGAATATCTCCAAAATCGTCACATGACACTTTAGAATTAACTCAAAACTTCCATGAACATATTAGAATACTCTAAAACACTTCTCAACTTATTTAGAATTTCAATTAAGTAAAACTATAAAAAAGTGCTTGAGAATATTTGGGAGATTTCTGATAACTTTTAGAACATTCTGACGCTTCAAGAGCATCAAGTAACCAATGCAAACTTTAGAAATAATTTTGAAGAGCTTCAGAATGCGCTTGTGCCAATTTGGAACATTTTTCAGCATTTTGAAACACTCTAGAGCACTTTAGAATGGAGACTTTCAATTCAATTTTCAATCCTCCTGCATTTGTTTGAGACAAATTGGAGCTCTTCAGGAACATTGTAAAACGCTACAGAACACTTTAGAACCAAACTCGGAATTAAATGAGAATTCCGAAACACTCTAGAACAGATTAGAACACTTCCGAAGTTTCAGGAACATTTATGAAAGCTCAAGATACTTTAGATCCAATTTTAAATTTCCAGGAGTATATTATGAGAACATAGAGAGCTTCTGTTGAAGAAAAAATCTTGAAAAACCGCAATGCACAGTCAAAAGATTGGCATATATTTATTAATGATGTTTTTGTTATCCATCCTATACCCACCACAACCATTGTGTTTACTTCGAGGTTTACTTATTCCAAGTGTTTATTTTTTAAATTTAGGAATGTGTTTTTTTTTTCTGTAATAAACAAATTAACTATGCTTATTGACAAACAAATATTATCAAAAACGATGCATTAAAATGGTGAATTCATTTAAAAATACTGCATTCTTTTTCAGTGCCGCTGATCTAAAGAATGACTCCGCCCAATCCCCAAGAACCGGCCGAAGTGCGCAAAAAGACCCCATCCGATTTTATTTTCGGCAAGGTGATCGGCGAGGGTAGTTACAGTACCGTGTACCTTGCCCAAGATGTGCAAACTAAAAAGGAATTTGCCAGTAAGTAAACTAAATTCAAAACACGTTTTGTTTATACCTTAAATTATTTCTGCAAAAAAAACATGTTTGTTGCATCTTTGCTTTTAAATAGTTACAAAGAATTCCAAAAATAGCCTTATTTCCTGGAATTTAATGTTAGTCAACAAACTGTGGAAAATATAAATGGTGAACAAACAATCAGTTACTGCTGGTAATTTTTCACTGGGATGCGTAGTTAATTAATCCAGCTTTTGTTGTATGACTTTAAGGCAAATAGCTATGTAGACAGTTGTTTAGTTTAGCTGTCGGTTAACCAATAATAATTAAAAGTAAACTGACAGCTAAACTAAACAACTGTCCACTGATAAACCGATCCCTAAAGTCCTAATTTAGTTGATAGAATAATTATATTGATTTTTTTTTTCAGTAAAAGTCCTTAAAAAGAAACACATCATTAGAGAGAAAAAGACCGAATCCGTGATGCGTGAAAAAGAAGTTTTACGCATCCTAGGCAATTCCTGCCCCTATTTTGTTAATCTCTACAGCACCTTCCAGGACTATGATAGCCTGTATTTTGTGCTGACTTATGCAAAAAATGGAGAATTATTAAAACACATTAATTTGCATAATAAATTTAATTTTGAGTGCACACAGTAAGAATTACAGTATATTTATCAAAAAATTAAACTAATAACAATTATTATAGGTACTACACAGCTGAGCTGGTTCTCGCTTTGGAATACTTGCACTCCAAACACATTGTCCACAGAGACTTGAAGCCTGAAAATATTCTGTTTGATCATAATTTTCATATTATCATTACAGACTTTGGAAGTGCCAATATCGAAAAAACCGATAATCAAACAAATAATGGTAAAAATTGACCTTCAATAAAATCATTCAATCAATTAATAATTTTTTTTTAGGAGAAACTGATCTGATAACTGCTTTAGAAAACACCAGGAGGAGGCGTAGTTTTGTCGGTACTGCACAATTTGTCAGTCCTGAAATGTTACAAGAATCTGAATCTTCTGCTGCTTCTGATTTATGGGCTTTAGGATGTATAGGTAACAATTATTTTGTGAATAATACAGTTAAGACGAGACAAAGTGATATCGGCATTGATTGTTTTTATTTTACACATTGTTTCCAAGAAAGTCAATAGCCTGTAATCACTTTTCAAAATAAGCAGTACCTATCAAGCTATTTTATTTATCCTATTAATTTTTCCAGTGTATCAAATGACTTGTGGTCATATGCCTTTTGTTGGTGGTAATGAATATTTCATATTTCAAAAAATAATAAAATTGGAATACGAATTTCCGGATGGATTTGATAAGAGAGCACAAGACTTGGTAGAGAATTTGTTAGTATTAGAGCCGAATAGACGCTTAGGTAAGAAACAAGCATTATAATCAAAGAGTTTGTAATAATATTATTTCTTAATTAGGAGCTTCAGATGTTGTCCCTTACACAAGTATACGTGAGCACCAAATGTTCGAAGGTATTAACTGGAACGATTTAGGGCCACCTCCTCTGTTATCTGATTCACCGTATTTAATAAAATCAAGTGGGAGTAACAATTTTAACTCCAACCAAGAACCAGGTCTCGATAGAGATATAGTCACTAAGTAAGCCTTATAGGTTTTTTTTTATTTTAATAAAAGCAATTCCTAATAAATATAATTTTTAGATTGATATTAAAAGACATGTTGCCAGGGGCAGCTCCTACAAAACAAGCTGAGCGTAAAATTTCCAGAGCAGGACGTAAAATTACTGATCTAACGCAAGAAGAAATTGAGAAAAGACTGTTGGCCCAACAAGCCAATCCTTATAACGTTTTTGTTGAAGGAAATTTAATACTCAAACAGGGTAAGAACTGTTTGAAATAAAACTAAAAATATTTTGCTAAAAATCTTATTTCTAGGTTTAATAGATAAACGTAAAGGGTTGTTTCCCAGAAGACGAATGTTTTTGTTGACGTTTGGGCCTCATTTATATTATGTGGATCCTAGTAATATGAATTTCAAGGGCGAAATTCCTTGGAGCAGCGACATGAGAACCGAAACAAAGAATTTCAAAATATTTTTTGTGCACACGGTAAGAATTTATTATTGTGGCTACGTCATCATGAATATATTTCAATCATATAGTAGTTTTATGGTTAATAAAAAAAGTTATGACGCTTTTATCATAAATTTGGTTATAGCTTTTTTATTGATGAAGATATGATATTGAATTTTATGGCGTTTTGTATAGAGCTTTTATTATACATACATTGACCTCATTCGAAATGGTTGAAAGCAAGTGAGTAGTACAGCAACAGGGGTTCTAGCATCAAAATCCGACCATAACCTCAATCTTTCATTCTTGACACGTGGTGGATGCGCCGCCGTTGACACGAAGGTGGATGCATCGTCGGCGCCATCTTGTCAAACGTCATGGCGCCATCTAGCGTACATAGTGTGAAGTTCGTAATACAGGATGCTGTGGTTGGGACCCGTAGGGCTCCGCCCTCCAAAAAGGGGGCCCGCAGGGCTCCGCCCCCCAAAAAGGGGGCCCGCAGGGCTGCGCCCCCCGAAAAGGGGCTCCCCGGATTTTATTATGGGTACCAGAAAAAGGGGTGGGGGGAAATGTTTTCCCGCCATCATGTCAACCGTCACCTGTCAAACGTCACCGGTCAAACGTCACCTGTCAAACGTCATCTGTCAAACGTCATCTGTCACCTGTGATGACGTCATACCGGGTGAGTGCGGTGAATTCTTGCAATTACAGGTTCCTGTGATATGGAGTTTGCGTGGAAGGGATTGTTCCGAGTCGTTTCGAAATCGCTACGTATATTTAATTATGGTTCGGGGAATTACAGGTTTCTGTAATATGGAGTTTGCGTGGAAGGGATTGTTCTGAGTCGTTTCGAAATCGCTACGTATAGTTAATTATGGTTCGGGGAATCACAGGTTCCTGTAATATGGAGTTTGCGTGGAAGGGATTGTTCCGAGTCGTTTCGGGTTCTGTGATGACGTCATAGCGCCCTGGGTCACGTCCGTGGAGTCATTTAGAGTACATAGTGCAAAGTTTGATTCAGGGTTCGGGTTCTGTGATGACGTCATAGCGACCTGGGTCACGTCCGTGGCACCATTTAGAGTACATAGTGCAAAGTTCGATTCAGGGTTCGGGTTCTGTGATGACGTCATAGCGACCTGGGTCACGTCCGTGGCGCTATTTAGAGTACATAGTGCAAAGTTCGATTCAGGGTTCGGGTTCTGTGATGACGTAATAGCGACCTGGGTCACATCCGTGGAGTCATTTAGAGTACATAGTGTCAAGTTTTTTGTGTCGTATAACAGGATGCTGTCGGGGAAATAAAAATCAAATACAATAAATATTGAACTGTTTATTAAAAAATTATAGATTATTAAAATAGATACAATTATCAGTGACCTTATTGATCAATTGATATAATATATACATAATATGAGTTAAAGAGAGATAGATAATACATTATTTCAAATATACAATTATTAGTGACCTTATTGATTAGTTGGCATAATATATACATAATACAAGTTAGGGAGAAAGAGATAGAACGATACATTATTTCAAATATACAATTATTATTAGTGACCTAATTGATTAATTAACATAATATATACATAATACGAGTAAGAGAGAGAGAGAGATAAAATGATACATTATTCCAAATATACAAACAATTATTAATATTGACCTTATAAATTAATTGACAAAGTACATACATATACGCGTTAGAGAGAGAGAGATAGAGAGAAAACATATTGATGCTCAACATTACTATACTTTTAATTCGTCACCAACATCAAGACTATAATGCCCCCAGGGAAGAGTATTGAAGGAATTGGGCACTAAGAAACGTTTATCGTCAGCTGGACTTAGTGCAATTTTTGATTGTTCAATGCTGAACACATTATGTTGAAAAGACCGAATGGTTCTCTGCGTTACGGTACTTTCTTTAAAATTTTTCAAACAATCAACGTAATCTTCAAATGCAATTTTATACTTGACTATATTTTTTTTGACGCCTTTCGATTTTTTCACAACTTTTCCCTTAAGGGTCTTGAAGCTGTACATTTTGGATCTCAGGCCTACTTGGTGAGTCATGATATCACCATTCAGTTCATCTTTCATTAAACCTAAAACCTTTTTATTGACCTGCGGTATGTTATATGGGTTATCTGGAGGGTAGTCTGAGGTATCGAATTTAGACAAGTCGGCTTTGATGACTTCTTCATATACATCATCGGTTTCGATGTCATATATGAAGCTGTCGGTGTCCATATATTGAATGTGACATTTTTCTGAATCTAATTTGGACAACATGTAGTCGTAGTGAAATGAATACATGAATATTTTCGAAATATCTAAAATCGACATGCCTACATACAATGGTTTGTTGAAAAATAGTTCGGCTTTTTTCAATTCAACCAACAATAAATCATCATCTAAAATGGTTCTGCTATGAAATCTTGGACTAGATATTAAATTTTTTGCACCATACCGCCCTTCCCACGTCTTTACAAATTTCACAATCCTATGATTTCGTATGTTTTCCATAGTCTTTCCGAACACCGCGTTATTGAACAATTTGAAAAGATTTTTGTCAAAGTCATTCTTACTCTGTTTACGTAAGTTATTGTTATGCTCGATATAGGGCTTGAGCCACATTGACTGCTTGAATTTTAAAATCTTGCGAATTTTCTTCAGCACTAGGCCATGTTTCAGTGCCTGTTTTAAATTTCGATAATGTATAACATAGTTTTTCTTGTCGTACAGCGTGGTCATTAATTTCGGTAACTTTGAATTTGGCGGCTTACGATGTTCTGCCGCGAATGGTAAATCTTTATGTAAATCATGTAAGTGTCTAGGATATTCCAAATCAACTTCCAGGATGTAGCCCTCTGGAGAATCGTCTTCCACTGCCATAACATCAAAATTTTTAAGGTCGTCGTCGTCTCCGTCTACCCAGTCAAAACCACCGTAGGGTAGGGGCTCGGTCATTGCTTTTCCATATAAATTATTCATGTCGAGATAGAGCAAATACCTTGATTCTTTTGACACATCATATGTATCCATATATTTGTTATTGGCCTCAGCATAACGATTCACACATACGGAAATGCCTCCACGAATTCCCTGCTCCACAAACATTATCTGATCAATGTCCCGAAGAATATCTAAACGACATTTCGTAAATTGGAGCATGCTGTCCCAAGTATAACCAGGCATGCTGTGATACCACGCTGGATCTAGTTTGTGTGTAGCTATACAGTTTTTACGAAAATTTTCAAAAACATCGGCCAAAAGTAAAATGTCAGTTTTCAAATAGAGATCCGAATATTCACCTAAATTTTGAATTTTGAATAAATGCCAGACATTTTGGGCGTGAGCGAACTTTTCATCGCTTAAATCTTCATCATTTAACTTGTTGTAGAATTTATCGATGGAAGGTAGAGAAGTTTCGTTTAATACTGAAAAATCATTGATATAATCATAACAAAAGACACCTTTCTGAGTTAAAAGTTGAAATTTTGACGGCTCCAAGTCTGAAAATTCTTTTTTCAATATCAGCAAGTCCTTTTTATTCAACGTGGAGGCAAGTTCATCCAAAGAGGCACCCAAAAATCTTAGTGAATCAATGAATCTGAAACGCAGCCCATTATCAGGTTCCCTGTAGGTGATCGAAATGTATTTTTCTTTGTTCACGGGTAGTACGCTCACGCGGCCATGCTTAGCAAGCTCTCGGATAACGAAATGAATATCGTAGCCGGAGAGATTATGGAAAACTACTGGAACTATAAAATGCTTACGATAGTTTAGGTTGCAGGATTGGTGCGCAAAATTACGGAATTTCCCCGTAAAATGATCATGATCACGAACAATCTTATCGCTGTTTGTGAAAGGTTTCTCACAAATATGACAATGTGTCGACGACACATTGGACAAGCTAATAGTTTCACTAGCAATAAGAGGTACAATATGTTTAAATTTGGAATAAATAAATTTAGACATTTGAGACACTTGTTCAACAAACCATTGCATGCAGTCTACACCTCGATAACTTTTGAAATAGGATAGGGAATCATCATACCCACATTTGAGGTAGTATCCAGCACTAAATGGAACATGTTTCTGATATTTACGAGTTTTTTCCGAAATTTTACTGTTGTTTAAATTTTGAAGTATGCTTTCGAAATCAGCATAGATGACAAAAGGTGTGTGTTGTTTGTAAGTAAAATTTCGAAATTCAACGTGTTCATATTTGGGGAAAGTAATCTTGTAATCATTTAATCTGGAGCACAAATTTTCATGTTCCATTAGGCGCTGTTCAGATGCAAAATAATTCAAACACCTATCACAAATAAATTTCTTAGTTTTATATTTACTGAGCTGCGAGGATACAAGTCCAGACAAGTTGCTAATATAGCAATAATGATACCTAATTTCCTCATCTTGTAGCTCTGCTGGTTGTTCGACATCATAATCGTCTACTTTTGGATAATATTTGTTTTGAACAATCAGCAAATTGACGTGTTTATCTAGTTTTTGTTTTGTTAATCTAACCGGTGCTACTGTGTAAAATTGTTTATTATTGGCGACATTCAGTTCCAAACCGTAAACGTTAATCGAAATATTATTTAACTTTTCAAAATTTTGAATTTGATTGAAGGGCATTGGGATAGGTAGATTGTGTGTATTCAAAACAGCCCTATAATATGGGTATGCTGATGTTCGCTCCTTATTCTTAGAGGAGGGAAAGAGACCACATACCACAGACCAATAGAAACAAGCTTCATCAGAATTCTTAATGTTGATGCAAGCATGTTTCCTGGAAATTTCAATAGGTAATTTAATGTAAGATGATCCGTTTCCAATTTCCATTTTATTTATATTAATTTCCAAATAAAGTATTCTACGTAATGCAAAGCCCGAATCGCGCTCCTGAAATTCCGAAAGCTTGTTCAAAATTTCATCTCGTACATGATCATTGAACCAATCAAAAATATCTGTTCCAACATCAATAATGACATTTTTGGTATTGAAATATTTAACGTCACAAACATCTC